ATTTTGTAGAACGCTCAAATATGATGAACAATGCTGTAAAAAATTTTGATTTATTTTCAAAATTTATTTTCAGACCTGTATCTAGTTACACGATAAAAATTATGTATTTGTGTTGGAAACGATTCATTCATGTTCTTGTTAACAACATTTGTGTTGAATATTTTAACATATTCGAGTATTAATTTAACATAATGATAAACATCATGATAATTAAAGATTTTGTATTAAATTGTAATATTAAACATTATTTAACGTAATATTATTTAACGTTTCTTAATGTCGAAATAACTCAATTTATGAATAAATGAATAAGTAATATAAAAATAATGTGTTTTAAAACGCAAATTCCAAGATGAATGAATGAAATATGTTTTAATTTAACATATGATAAGTGTTAATTATACTTTCACAATTTATTCATAAACTGTGTCAGCATGTTTTCTCTATCGCGATCATTTATATTTTTTTGTTTCTTTTTTCCAAATAGGATATTAAATGAATACAAAAATTTGAACAGGAAAATTTCATGTGAAATGTGTTATATTCGACACAAATATTTCAACAGGGTAAATTTTTTCCGTTGTACTTGAAAACTCTTTTTCCACGCAGGATTGTAATTCTCGCACCGAAGGAGAACCAGATAGACCTATCTATCCTTGGGGGCAATTAAGTTTTTATCGTATTCATCCTTCCTTCCTATCGTAGCGTGGATTTCTCGTATGCTCCTTACACGTACGCTTACATTACGCTCGGGCTGAATGTTGGCAAACGAGAGGAGTGAAAAACAATTTGCCGCATAAATCCGCGTGCGTGCCCTGCGCTCATCTCGCGGTGCGTGAAATATCGCCGTCCTCGAGAACGCGGCGGGAACGGCCTGCATTTGACGGTGCGCACATTTACCAGAATATTTATTATATCTCCTCCATCGGCGTCGGTACGGCGGCAGTAACACGTCTTACGATTCCGAGCGCGCCCGAGTACTTTGTCTCTCCCTCTACTGTCTGTTAACCCTTTGCGTATACACTTGTTATCGTGCTGACGTTCACCAGTTTATTTTCCTGGTCACCAACGGAGGAAAATAGCGACTTGTTACGGGCGCTCTCTCCTTTAAAGCGTCTTATCTAAGGGGGATTGGAAAAATTGCTGCTTTTCGTGAGACCTAACGGGAGGGAAAGGTAAGTGGAACAGGGGATGAGACGGCAGCAAAAAGCAACCGGGAAACTGTGGAGAACTCGTTACGTCCATTTGAGAATCCTCCTCGTTTCACCGCGGATTCCCTTTCTTTGCGCACTTCACTTTTCTTCCCGTTCTTCCCGCTTGCAGACTTTGCGGCGTGTTCTTACGCCTTTCCTATTCAGTGGGGAAGCGTTTAAATCATGGTGGTCTCATCTATCCGTATCGTCTGTCAGCTTTCCGTCAATCTCTGTGACTTAATGGCTCGCGAGCGACCGCGAAATCAAAAGCAGAACAAGCAAAAAATGCTTCTGAAACGCTGAATTAACTGGCTCGCATTACTGCGACGATTTTCTTAGAGTGGCGCGCATTAAGTCCTTTGAAAAATTTACGCTCTTCTCACACCGAGAGGTACATTGGTGTTTTTAAAGTTACTTTTCGCCGGGTGGAAAAGGAGAGGAAATTATGACCCTTCAAAAGGACGGTATTGAGTTTCCGTTTCCTCGCAAAGAGAGCGACGGCGAGCCATCGAGAGGTCGGTAAATAGAAATAAAAAAAAATAGTGTTTTCACTCTGGCATCTAAATGTAAACGATCCTTTATCGCCGCCGACAGAAGAGAGAAGAGAAGCGTCTCTGTTTGAGATCGTTAATTCGTAAAAAAAGTCATAATTCTTTAATTAACATTAATTGTTGTTGGACGTGTGCATGAAATGAGTCTGTAAATTCATCTCTAGCACGATCTTAATTCTCGCTAAAGCTATTAATTTGTCGTTTTTTTCATTTCAAATTAATTCGTTATACACACACACATAGACAACGGCAACGGACCATCGAAGGTTCGAGAACAATTCAATCATGCGCGGATTTTCTGTCGCGTATGACTGTTACGTTGAAAGTCGAAAAGAATCCAAGGCGCCAATCAATCTTATACAACAAATGCCACGCAAAAATTACAATTGTGGCAAAATTCTATTGAATTTTATCAAGAAAAGACCCCAAGAGGCCACGAAGGCAATATATGCGCCGATCGTCGCCGATCTCTCTCTCTCTCTCTCTCTCTCTCTTAGTGTTCAGAGTCTCGCTATTATATCGTGAAAAAACCCGCCGTGAAAAACCACCAAGTAAAACCGCTGTAAGGAAGATTCCTTCGAGAACCGTCGAGAAAATCGCCGTGATTTTCTATTACTAGTATTACTAAGATAATTCGGAAAAGATGATTGCATCGAATATTTTGCGATAATTATTTATGTGTACTGAATTCGTTGTAAAAATTGAAGTAAATCTTTAGTCAAACTACAAAGAAACGAAGTTCTTTTCACTTTCGTGCGTTATATCAGCCGTGTGCCGTTCTCTCACTTTAATCTTTACGCGCGTTGCAATTCCTCACAGTCTCAAATTGAATGAATTAGAATTACACGATGAACGTTGCGTAATTATAATTATAGGATATCGAAGAACACGAGATATTTAATATCCAGATATCAAATATGATCTCTTACTTGATCTCTTACTGTTTTAATTTGCTTAATTGGTTTAATTGTCGTTGTCGACGGCGATTTTTTGTACCGGTTCTTTATCATATTCAGAGCTCCATGAATGCATTTGCAATGTCGCGAGTTAAACGAGGACGTACGTCGCGATTTTCAACAAGCGATACCGTCAGCATGCCGAGAGTGTCTCCGTTTGCATAGCGTCAAAGGATTCGCGGAGGGAGAGAGAGAGAGAGAGAGAGAGAGATGGAGACGATAAGTGCGGAATCATGACAGAGAAAATTATGAGAGTTGAAGGACCTTGCGACCTAGAGAAGCCGGAGGGTTGGATGCGTTTCAAAGTTTCCGCCGGCGCCGGAAGTCGGTATGTAAAGCAGATGGCCGACGGTTGACAGGAAGGATATGCGGTTTTCCACATATGTCATTGTGGTCCCTCTCTTTCCCCTCGCGAGTTCCAACACGGACGTACATGCGCGAAGCCGACGAGGGTGGTGCGACAATGCGACCACTTTCCACTACTTGTTCGGAAAAGCGAACCCCCCGATGGCCGGCGTGTAAATGTCGACACGTGGACGGCCGCGGGCGTGTAACGTCCGTCCTGGGTTACAATTAGTGTCGATAGGCATATGACAATTACATAGAGTACCTAACAAGCGAATCAAACCAATTACGAATACAATGGAAGCTCTTCAGGTAACAGCTTACACGTTCATACTTGAAAAGTGTTTCTTGCAATACAATGTAAGTAGGCAATATATAAAGGTGTGATTGTTGTTTATACTATCGACTTCGTTTGATAAAATGTATGTGCTTGTAAATAACATACGTAGGTATCATTTAGTCTTAAATGGGTTCTGTCGGTTTCTTCCACGTTTTCTCCCTCTTTCTCAATTTGTTTCACATGTTACGTTTGCATGCATTGTTTAAATTCTTACACTCCAATTAACCACCTGACACTTGATTTTTTTTCCATTAAAATACTCTTATACAATAGTGATCCTCCGAACATCCGCGATTCATTCATTTGTATTTTCTTGTGGAAAAACGAATGAGAAACATTCTGGGTTATGAAAATTCATGATCTCTTTAGTGGTCGTTATATACAGTTTACAACAATTTATAGGAATAGAAAGTGGGATGTATAATTTATTCTATCGCGGAAAAGTTTTATAAGTGTCTAGAAAACAAATTACAATCAGTGTATCTTATGATGAACAAACAACAGGTTTATCATCGTCTATAAATAAGAAAAATATCTTGGATAACATAGTGGATATATATTTATTTTATTTGTTTAAAAAGTAAATGCGAGTTATGAGCGGTGTATCTCAAAGATTATGAAAGCAATATAGATTGAAAGCTTGAGATAACAAATTTTTTAAACAAATTTATTATAGATATACACGTTATTAAAAATTTATCGAACTAGTAAGCATAATTCAATGTTTAAACATTCTTTTAATACGCAGCTGCAATAATCTGTTCCGTTAGTTTATTTAATAGTTTTTTTCAAATTTTTTGTTACGATATTTAAATAAAATTTATATTGTTGACTAATAAATATTAATATTGTACATTTTTTCAATTCATTTTGAAATCATTCGACTTATGGTTTTATAATTCATTTAAAATTAAATAAAAGATATTTATTTCAATATAATTGATTCTTAATTTTTTAAAACTGACATATTACCAATGGTTTTAATTAAAATCAAATTAATTTGTCAGATTCGCATATGCAACGCAGGCTGCTTTGAATTAAAGCAATTTGCAACTTACACACACAGACAGAATAACATCGTAGATAAAACCAGTTAAAACTTGTTTTGTGACTCGTATAATAAAATCGCTTGATTTAACGATTAAAGTTAATCCATGGAAACATGTTCTAATTTCATTTAAAAATCGCTGACTGCTTTAAAAATTGACGTTTCTAAATATAATCTTAGCGATTAATTTTAATTTTATATAATATGTATAGAAAAATCATTTCAATAGAATTAACACATGCATTCCGATAAAATTAACAACTTTTTACATTGACAATATAACATTGATCAAACATTAATATATAACGCTCATATATAACGACGATTCGATATATATTAGGTCATCTAAAAAGTATCCGCGGTTTTTTGTCACTAGATGTGCGTTGATGATCATATATCTAGTGACAAAAGTACCGCGGATACTTTTTAGATGACCCAATATATTAAATAAAACTTTCGGAGAAGTTAATTATTGAAATACCCTCCTGGAGACCACAGAGGCATTAGAGACATACAAGAACATTTTTTCGTTCTAGTACCTTTCTCTATCACATGTCACACTGTTACTGTCACGGTCACAGCATTTTCCCGAATTAATTCCAACGGATCGGTTAATACACGTAAAAAAAGAGGACCGCTACGAGCGCGATTCCACCCATGAGTAGATAAGAAGACAGGCTGAATCCTTGAACGTTCTTTTCCGTTTCCTTCACGTATCCCGATGTCCAGCCTTTTTTCGGCAGTTTGTTCATCCTTTCCGAATCAGCGATTACACCGACCTGGTACGTCTTCATCAGTTCCATCGCGTCTTTCGAATGCCCGACGTCGTCGAAGTCTTCGGAAGCGTCTATGCCTTTGTGTTCCAATAGGATCTCCTCTCCACCCGGATGCTCATTGAGAAAGCTGCGGACGTTGTATACTTTGTCGTGCAAGATGAAAAGGACTTTATCCTTATCGTCGTTTTTTTTTATCTCGTTCCGCGTGAATACTTTCATTTCTGCCATGTCTCGATGACCTTTCGCTTTTTCTTCTTTGTACAGTCGATCTAAAAGAAAAGAGAACTTATTAAAATTGTTTTCGTCGTAGCTTCGACATTACATAAGTAAAATGTTTTTTCCTCTCGCGTAACGCAAGAATGAGTTTGATGACTATCACAAAGATACGATCTTATCCTTTTAAATTGTGTAAGAATGAAATCACGTAATCCACGTATTTGACCGATACGGTTTACCGAACGCTTAGTTTTAGAAAGGTTAATTGTATAGTGAGTCAATAAGTTTTGCGAGTAACGCAATTATAAATAAATTTAGAAATACGACGTCATGTACGCGTTAAGATCATCATGGCATTTCAACGTGCCACGAGTAGTTCAATGCAATCATGACGAGGTCAGCAGAGTGAGATTACATAACGAGTATTCACTTGGTTACCACAGCAATCAAAGTTCGACTATGCTGCAGAATTGTTTTTTAAGATTATTATATTCTTATTATATACTTGAGTGAGATAATGACGTTTTCAAATGACTTGTCACATTACTTCAGATATATCGAACGTAGCAAACAAACATCCATGTCATGCGATCATTAAATCTAACAATATTAATGACACAGTAAATAGTCTATTCCTACATATTTTCGTTATCTAATCATCCGCTTAAATAGATAATGTCGTAGCATTATCGCTATGCGTTTTCGACAAACAACGTTTCTACGGAGTCAAACAACACGGCCCCCGTAAAAGTGAGGGCCATTAGTTTAATAGGTTCCTCGAAATTTGCATAGGTCGCGTAATTTCTCGAGTGCAATGCGCGGAAAGACGCACAGACGGCGGAAACGTTCTCAAACGGAGGATATTTCGTCAGGTGAAGGTTCTATTTGAGAGAAGTGGCAAGTACGTCTCTCGCTTTCCGTTTGCTATTTAGAGAAGTATATGCCTTTGAAGGATCACGGATTCAACCCTTACTAATAATCAAACTTTATCCGATCGCAGGCAGTTGAACGAGTACACTCGCGAGTTTTGCCATGGAAATATCGATTCAAGATGATGATTCGCAAGAATAGATCTCGACGAAAATATCTTCGCTGTCGAAACGACATACGAACGAACGAGATACGGATTTGAGAAGTGCGTCGGATCGATATGGCCTTTTCCCATTGTTTCTTTCGAAACAAATAGCTCTCATCGAGTCTTTGCATGGAAAAGCTCATCTGAGCTACAGTTGACGGAGATTTGACGTTCGCTGGACCACATACCTCCTCTTCGCACCTTCAAAGGGTGTGTTACGAAGGATAACGTCGACTTCTTTGACGGAAGGAGACAGATCCAGAGAGAAATGCAAGGCAACGGTACAAATGAGTCGTAGATGCGAATCTTCGCCGAGATAAGATGTCGTGCGAGAACCTCTCCTCGGAACTGCATTCGCGTGAGCACTACGGAATGCAGTCTGTCGTTCGTACAGTTCTATGTTCCCCTCCTTCTCGTTCCTCTCGTTGTCCGGACCCCACCGCATAAGCTCCTCGTGTTATCTGAAGGCCAGCAACGTTGCCAACCGCTGCTTTACAGCAAAACACGCTGACGCGTTAAATCGTGGGCAATGCCTAAGTGGCGGACTCGATTGGCTGACTTACATAGAAACCTGTGAGTCTAAGTAATAATATGTGCTTCTCATTTAGTGACACAAGTCGACACAAACATCAGTTTATCCTTTTTGACATTCAGAGAACAACAAAGATAGAACGACACTTGTGTCGACTTGTGTCATTACATGGAAAGCCCCTGATATACTGTTTTCACAAAGGCTGATTACAAATCCTCGATTGCTATGAATTGAAGTCTCGTTACAAGAAGTTTGTAATATTAGATTGCAATTACGGATAATCGTTGATCACTCAGAGTATTTTTGTTAGTTAGAGTAGCGATAATACACGCGCGATTTTCATGTATTTCTGAGGCTTTCGTGAGGTTGAGAAGATCATTGAACTGATGATAAGATAATTCTGCTGATTCAAATTTGTCAGTTATAACATACAATATACAGAATGTCTAGAAACATAATAAACATACTTTTCACTCGTTCCAAGAGAAGTAGTCTCACTTTATCCACTATATAGTTTTCGAACTGCAAGGAATTCTGACAAATATTTTCCATTTATTGGAGCAAATTTTATCGGCAGTATCTTATTAGATAAAAATGACGAATAAAAATATCTTCATTTTTTGTAATATTTGTTAACTTAGTTAATCAATTAATAAACATATTACGCGCGATATATATCCGCATAATTAAATTTTTTGCCTTTGAATTTTCTCGAATAATCTAACGGCGCGAAATCTTTCGAAAATTTTGTAAGCCGAAAGCACGCAATGAGAATAATAGCAATGTTTTTGTACAAAATTACTAGGTACTGTTCTTGTTTGTAAACTCACGTACTATGCAGGCATGATGCCCGATTCATATGTAAAAGCGTCTAGTCATGATGATGCCACATCAAAAAGATAAGCTTGATAGTCGAGCTGCTTGATCGCATTTTTGTACAGCATCGAACATTTATACATACTGTCATTTTCTTCATATATTCCATAATAACTATCAATTATCGTAACAACTAAAAATCAATTATTATAACAACTCAAAATTACCGCTCAGGACAATTTTATCACAAAAAATTGCTTCTTTTGGCATAGAAATTTCACTGTGTATTTTAGAATTTCATATATATTATATTATATTATAATATTATATATGTACATAATGTATGTCGCCGCTTGTACGATCAGATATTTTTCATTTAATATAATTTTCTATAATAATGAATATTTAGAAGTGATAATAGCGAAAGCTATATAATACATATATACCAGATAATACGTTTATCGTTATACATGAAGACTATCGCTCGGCCGTTTCATAATTTCGCTTATTTGATGCTTGATGACAGCTTTTCCGTATCCGATTTCCATATCAAGTTACATTCGTGAACGATGATCCATTTTGGACGAGCATTTTAAACGAACTTGCTGATATTTTCCCTCGACGCACGTTGGAATAAAGTTCAAATATATTGCACGCATAAAACACGTACCAAAATAAAATATTAAAACAAGAAAACTTACTAAGTTACGTAAGACCTACGGATTAATTTATTTTTTCGAATATTTTTTCGATATTTTTTTGCTTTATAATGAGCGTTTCATTACAAGTTGTATTACAATGTACAAAATTATATGGACATGATAAATGCAAAACAATAAAAGCGATAGTATTAATTAAAATCAAAATTAAAAGGAATCAAGCCAAAACATATCTATTCAGTATATATTTATATATATATTCTTATTCCTCTTGTAAGCATTAAATAACAAATTTTCAAGTAAATGTGTATCCATTAAAATAGTTGTGCAAGAACAATAACTTAATAGCTTCGAATGGATTATACATAACATTGCATATTTTGCATATTTTAGCGTTATGTTAAAATTAAAAAATTGCGCTCATAAATCCTAGTTTTCTCATCCAATAATAAATTATAATAGCATAAATTATGAAAGAGAACCACATGAATGTCGAGGACCAGAACGTCGTTTGTTCCGATTCTTGATACTGCCAATCTTCCTCCACTGGTTCTTTTACTTCTACAAATAAAAAAAAAATAATTTGTGAAGATCTTAGTGACATTGAAAAGTACATGATTTATGACTACGATGTATTCTAAAGATGATTCTTCTAAAAGCAACAGAATTAAGATATACGATTCTTCTACTAAGATCCGATTCCATCAATGTAAGATTAACTTTAATCTTGGTTCAATCTATTGTTTATCTTCTTGTAATCCTAGGAATTAGATAAAGATAAACAGTAAGTAAACTGAGATCAAATTTAATCTTACATTGGTGGAACTGGGCCTAAGAGCATAGAATGATTGTAATGTGAGGGTGTCAGGAACAGTTATTGTGCCATTATTCATTGACGTAACATAAATATGATAGAATGTTCTAAGGTCGACATTTGTAGTCGGTTCTTATTTCAAAACAGTCTCAAATAATGTCTTATAATGAAACGGTGATTAGTTTGTTGTGACATCTTAATTCGAAAATAATCACTTGGGATATTTTTACATTTCAACGGCAGAAAATTGAAAAATGTTGTAGTGTCTTGTATAATGGATATTATTTGACACATATATATTTTCTTTCATTTTTAATAATTATTCTTTACGAAAATGTAGAATTCCATCGAAAACCCGCAATAAAAAGTGCTGTATTAATTAAAATCTTTATCTTTTTAAAATACTGTTATAATAAATTTCTATTTTATTTGTTTAATATTTGGTTTCGACTTACTTTTTTTTAAGAAAATTCTGATTAAATCCATATCTATAATGTTCTCGAGTATATTAATAAATCGGAAAACAATAATATGTAATAAATTGTTAATAATAATGATTTTAATTGGAGTATAAAAATATCCCAGGTGATTATTTACAAAACAAAAATTAGTTAACTACTTCTGAGTTAAGATTGTACTCAAGGCGATCTTAAATAAAAGAATCGATTATGAATAGCGGAAATAACTAATAACTAAAATATAACTGTTAGAAATTGAAGAAACTACATGAAAGGTATATAAATGATATACTTATGTACATAAACCCACATTTGTCGATGACGTAAACATTGCGAATGTAAGCTCGACTGTTTACGAGACTTTGTTTATAGCGTATCGCGTTAAATTTGTAAGCAATGAATCCGAACGGTATTAAATCACAGTACAATTCAAGCGACCGAGGAAAAGAACAAACCTGTATTTGTCGTTTTCGTTTTATTATCGGAGCTTACACTATCCGTTATCTCTCCGATTTTGAAATTCTCACGAAAAATAATCGCCTCCTTACTGTGGCCGATTGCCTCGAAACTTTCTGTCGCATCTTGCCCCGCTAATTTCAGCAGCACTTCCTCGCCGCCAGGATGTTCCTTGTGGAACTTGGTGATATTATAGACTCCACCGTTTATCACGATCCATAGATCCTTGGCGTTATTGTGACTGGCAACTTCATCGATAGTGTAGACGTCCATTATAGTGATGACACTGAAGAAGAAACAATTTTGTAAACTTTTCTGTGAAGAGAAGTGCGAGGACCACGAGGAAATCTGCGAGGTGTCACGTACGAACGATGACTTGTGATTATCTTATTGACTACGTTTCTCTGCCGCTGTACGTTACAGCGATTAGATCGCTTTGTGGAAAACCCCCGAAGATTTGTCTTCGTGTCACCTTCGGACGACGCACGTATGTGTCGGTCTATTTTGACTCGATCTCGGTCGCAGATCGGTCACGCAGAGGAACACTTTGAAAGGGAAAACAGCTGGTATAAACGAAGCAACACGATCGCAATGACGACAACGACGTACTTTGTCGCGTTTTGTCCCGTATTCCCGATATCTCGTGTATTCAGAGAAATGCTCTGACCACTGCCTTCCTTTCGTTTCCGTCGCGGATGTCGACGATGAAAGCTAGTCTCTCCTCGTACCTGTCGCATTTTACGTTGCGACACGGTTTCTCGTACGGTGAATTTTCGCGCTTTCTCCTTATTTTTCTCAGCATTTCCGACAAACGCCGTGCGCGCGCACGGTGTGTAATATCGCGAGCGGTGATATCTTATTTATTTTATGGTCTCTTATGTCTTCGTCCAAATGTATTTCGACTGACATGGAATCTACAGCGCGTATTTCGTTATTAATATTTAATAGATTGTTACTTATTTAAATTCGCGTATGTGAATTCAGCGTCGAGAAATTTCCGCACGCGATGTGAAATTTTCAATTATTATCGATTGGCGATACATTCATCAGTCAGCCCGGTATGTAGAATATAAATTTTAATTTATTGATCGAAATGTGTATCGGCATATAGAAGGAATTTTTGACGTAGTAATCCGGAGGGCTTTGAAAGTCTATTGTACTTTAACCGTTTTGTAAAATGCGAACATTGTTTCGCTTATCCCGACGAGTTTGTGACATTTACGTGTCATGGGATTTATGTGACAGTTTATGTCGTAGCTTCTCACCTGATTCGAAAGTAGTAGATACGTTGAGAGGCAATTTGCGATTATATGTTTTAACGAGGAATACGCATTTTTTTCCCGTAGTGTTACTTGGAAGTCACTGCACAATTGCTAAATCAGACGAATTGAAGCCGCAAAGTGGAGCTGTCTTTCTTCACGAACGGTGTGTTATGAATGCGTATGACTTTCGTGTCTCCATGAACTACGAACTCATGAAAATGCATTAAGTACTTGAGGTGTTCACCTAGCGATGATTTGCAGAAAGAGTTACGCAGTAGACGGAATAATCTGAAAACATTGTATATTAAATTTATGCTTGTAAAATTTTATTATTTATTTATGAAAATGTAATTCTTTTGAGATATTAAGAGAATGTTCTATAATACTTTGTCGCGTTTTTTCAGCAAGTTTTTTAAGGAATATTTTTTGAAAAAGTGAGTTGATATTTTTGTTTAATTACTTTTGTCCCTTTTTTTTATTTGATATTGTTTCAAGTTGGAGAGATTTGATATTTTTTAATAAAAGATGTGAATAATAGATCTATTTGACTTCTACATCGTACACATTTGCGACAATTCCGGATTTCTGAGTGGATCTCTCAGTGAAGTGAAATTAAAAAATGTCGGAACTAGTATTCATTTCGCTCATTAAGTAAATAAATAGCTTTTATTTATAAAAAAAAGTTTGACTTTCTATTTTCTTGAGCTCTGAAAAAAAATAGAAAAAATTAAGTTATTAAGATAATTCTTTCCGATAACAGCCGCAAGTGTTCTAATTAAAATATTTTGTTTTTTAATTTTAATTGAAACATCCGGAATCATAATTACATATATGAATAATCGTCCACACGATGCGCAGAAATCAAACTGATTTGTTAATTATTCACATTTTTCATATAAAAAAAATAACAAATCTATCTTAAAACAATAATAAATAAAGAATAAAAGTAATTTTAAAAAATATTTATTCACTTTTCAAAAAAAAAAAAAAATTCCTAAAAATTACATAAACAGCCTGACAAAGTAAAAAACCTTCTTAAACCGTCCGCGATCGTCTTTCTCGCTGTTTTAGAAATTGAATTTTATTATAATGTGTTATTTTTAACTTCACCTTTGGACACAGGCTACTAAGATAATCGATTGACTGATTGACTCGAGAAACGAAATAAAAGTCAAAGGAATACAGAACGTCTTGTTTTATACGACTAAGTTCGTGTCCGACCAAATCATCAGCATAACTAAAATAAAATACGCTATTCGAAATTCTGTCATTGAAAATGCTCTATTGAAAAGTAAATATCATGCGATAACGTCTTCGACTTATTTAACATTTATACAATCGGTACCAATATTCTTTAGCCTTTACGTAAAATCATCCTAGTTGTGAAAGAACTTCTTCGTCGCATCGAATTGAATGGTACGATTTACGTTTAGATTAGTGCATGACGCCGCCAGTAATACCGTTGAAGTTTGTAAACTTGTGCTACGGATGCCGTTGCAACGGAGAACTATTAAGCAAACACGAATTTGGTGGCGCAGTGCGGTTCATTCTCACGAAATCGCTCTCGTATGGTTATCCTCCCAGTGCAAGGACTTTGAAGTCCTCTGGATGTTTGCGCCGAATTACCATAAGCACGTTACAGCCACTTTAATCTTCTAATACCAATGTCTTTACGTTTAATAACGACTCTCTCGTAGTCGCGAATGATATATAAATATAAAACTTATAGTTATAGTTTCAGAGAGAGTTATTAGCATACAGGTATAACATTCTTTCGAGAAGAAATTCTTACGCTACGCGTACACAAGTTGGCATAATTATGTCAAGTTACGACCTTGAAACTTGGGACAATTAATTATCTTCCTCGACTCTTGAATATTCAAGAAAATGTTCACTCGAAGGGAGAGGACAGAAATCTCTGCGATCGCGGCAAGTTTCGGAAGTTCGGAAACTTTCTGGAAAATTGAAAATCCATACAGCTGTGAACGATCAAGGGTGCGTGGGAGACAAGTTCGTACGGTATACATAATGCATTGTGATATCGATGTTTCGACTGGAATAATCTCACTTCCTCGCGAAATCTCACACACGGCGAAATCTCATACTTCTACTTCTACTACTTTATACTGTGCTATTTATGGCACATTGGTTCCTTCAAAGAACGATCGATTCACATTGTTCTCTTCAAGTTTACCGATATCGAATGTCAGAGGTAAGTTCAGGCGGAGAAGCGGAAATTTCTTTCGAGAATCCGCCTCTCTCTCTCGAGGCACTTCGTCCTCCGCAAAAAACGCGAGTCAAAAAGCGCTTCAGCGAGTGGCTTTCATCTTTGTCTTTTATTTCATCTCTTCGATTAATTATCAAGAGCTCATTTCTCATGGCAATTGGTTTTACTTTCACGGTGCAGAATATATATATATATAACTAACGCACTTGTTTCTATTTTAGAAAATTCATTTTGAATATTAACGCGAATGAAAGTTTGATATGTCAACGGTACGCTCGCCAACTTCCGGTGAAAATGATTCAAATATCAGAAATAATGCTGGACCGTAAGAACAATCCTTGTCAATCCAAAACCGTTGTTGCACACAAGAATTCGCGCCCATTCTCGTTTCTGTCGCGTCGAGATTAATCCTGCTGATTCGTGGACGTGATCAGCAGAATTAATTAATTCGATTAAAATCAATTTGGCTTTTTCCGCCCCCCGGCGCATGTCGTGTAAATACCGATCTGCGATGGCAATTCTCATCGATTTTTCTTTCAAATCGTGGCATTCAAATCGCTCGGATGGCTGATTATACAACGCGACACCGAGCTTTTATTTCTCGGCTCATTCTCCGCTTATGAATTCCATTGACTAATTATATAGATATCTACGCGAGCAATATATAGCCGTTCGCCAGTTATTCGCTGGTGATCGAACAACGTTGATTGTTTTTTTTTTGTTATGCTGGAACAGAATGCAATGTACGCGCGCTATTTCCTTTATTCTCTCTCTTTCTCTCAAAAAAAAAAAAAATACGTATAATATAAATTACGTTTGCGTTATCCCTTTCTTCGTCTGTCTTCATGTACTTTTCTCGATTCTATCAGTTTGGGGATTAACGCTGTATCCAGGTAGCAGATGTAGTAGGTAGTGAGCCTCAATATCGCTGGACTGTCCGCATCAGAAGCGTTTGAATGGATCTGCACGAGGCTAGCGGGATTTTAGGGAGTGGGTTGCTTTGATCTACGTAATTAAACGGCGCGATTTCTCCGCACAATACCACCGGATGCAGCACGCGTGTATATGTAGTATACGTGAGCGTATACTAGATTGTTATCTGGTTTGGATATTTCGCGTTTGAGCACACAGCTGTCGATGTTATCGGCAATTTTTCGTTTTTGCATCACTCGCATCAAAGCTATCTCCGCGCGTACATCCATCCTATATGCATCACTGTCTGTCAGTTCATCATCCTTCCTACCTCCAATCCAATGCGCAGAATTATATTATTTTACCTGCAACTGTAAATCTCATCTGTTATCATCGAAAGCTTACGAGTTATTTTACGACGCAAACGACAGGTGAAATTAGCTTAAGAAAAATTTAAGTGCCACCAAATGGTTGCACTCAGCCGTTTACCCTCAGCCGTCTCGATGTGGCGTGATCGAGATCTCGGAAAGTACAGGTAGACTGTTAAACGACTATCAGCACGCGATCTGAACATTGTCGTCTCGAGGTATTACTTAGAAACCTCGCGGCAGAGAGCGGGACGCAGATTAGTGAAGCGAGTACGAAAGCATTTCAGCATCGTTAAGTCGTTAATCAGGGGTGGGTGAGAGCTGTCGAGGAAGCAGATGGAGTATCACACCCTGATCGTGACTCATGTCCGATTGTCAGAGTAATTAAAAAGAGCCGTTGAACACGCACACGCAGGAGGGTTGAGTTACTTATTATACTTCGTTATGTCAGCGATTATTAGTCGAAGACAGAAATGTGAGATCTCGACATTTTTAGAAACGTGATACATTTTTATTTGCGGAATCACACATTCCAACTTGAAAAATGAGAGAATCGTCTTTTATATCTTTAACTTGTTAACTGTAGTTGCGTCTTCTTTTCAATGTAAACGCGGAAAGTTTCCTGAATTCTGAGTTGTAAATTTTGTCTAACGTACCCGAATACTTTTGTGTTTCAGAAAACCGGAGCCAGAATCAAGATCTATTCGAACACCTGCCCTCGCAGTACAGATCGTCTCATCAGCATCTGCGGGAAACCCACAACGTGCATCGAATGTATACGTGAATTGATCGCTACCATTAAGACTGTGAGTGTACTATGAGATCATGATTTTTTTTAAATAAATTTTTAATAGCCGTTGCATCTCGCACAAAACGTCGATTCTTTTTGTTGAAAAAGACATATGTTTCTTATATCATTCGAATATAATATTATTTGAATATTATTACAGTTTTTGTAGAAGTAGTTTCAATTTTCAATAGTTTTGTCACTGTTAGATATTAAAGACGCAATGATAATCTAATCTCTTGTGTTAAATAACATTTTGTTATTTTTAACGTACTACTCTCTAAATCAGTAAATAATCACTATTATCAGTGCCAAATATGCCACTGGTAATTAAATGTGAATTAAATGTGAAATCCCTAACCTTACCTAACTTGTATTAATCTAATTAATCTTACTTTAGTGAATAAACTCAATGAATGAACATGCAAATATCAGTATTTTAGGTATAATGCTCAAACTTTCTTTTTTAGTTGAATTTCACTGATTATCCAGTTACTAGATTTAGAGAGTATATATTAAAATGTTAATTAACCCATTTCTGTAATTACTTCCAAAGTAAACAACGTTTATATTAACGTATGCACTCAGTAAATAATAAGAAACTGAAATTGAATCAAATTTTTAATACATTTTTTTAGATTAAATTATTTAATTCTGTTGTTTTAGTTAAAATAACGACACATTGAGTACTCTGTTAAATTCATAATATCAAATTATACTTAATTTGAGTTATTTTTAATCATTTCTTGCATACATTTTAGGTCACCTCTGCTCCTACTCAATATATCATTAGCTTAACTTTAAAACAATGGAGGTAAACAATTTATTTCGAGAAAATGTATTAAATTTGAATGGAATGAATTTATTTTATTTATTAAGTGCGTACGTTAATATTGTTTATTTTAAATCTAACTACTGGATTATATAAATGAATTGATTTACATTTTGATTCACATGAAGTTAAAACAACAAAATGTCATTTAATTTAAGGGTTTGGATTACTTGTTCCTTTGATATTTAGCAGTGTAAGAATAGTGACGACCTATAAAAATAATAAAAAATGACTCAAATTAGGCATAATTTGACATTATAAATTTAACATTGTTGAATGAATTAAAGTTCGCTCTATAATACATATGTTGGATCATCTAAAAACCGCGGATACTTTTTAGATGACCCAATACAATACGTAGGAAAGCAATCTTTGAGGAAGCGAAATATAACGTTTAGTTTTTATTTTCCAGTCACCGCTAAAGGGTGTGAACAATCCTTATGATCCACACAACTTCGATGATTTTTATGCCGATGACTACGGCGGTTATGGAAACGCCGATGGTGGTCAGGGTAAGATCGGCGGATTTGGCGGTCCCGGTCGTGGTGGCGGCGGCGGCGGCGGCGGAGGCGGTG